GCTGCGCACACCTTTCTTGCTTCCCTCGTATAATAATAAAGATTATACTTTATACCTAATGGTGCCCTCGCCCCATGATAATTATTTAATTTATTCGAAGAAGCCTTTAACGTCGTACGAAATTTAAAGAATTTGTTTAAAACCGTAATAATTACTTTAATAACGACGTTTAACCTTAATTTGTCTTATTAATAAGGGAAATACTTTCTCTTTCAATATTAACGATATTTTTAATAATATAATATATTAGAACTCTAATTACCATATAATCCGCCGTACTTAGACGTTACGCAAATTCGTTAATACTGTTAATCATTTAAAATTATTTAAATAGCTTCCTAAAAACAATTAACGTAATAATGATAATTGGGGGATTTTAATAACTATTATAAAAGTAATAAAACTATTCGAAGACCTTACGAAAAAATTCGAAAAAACAAAGTCTTTCTTTATAATAATTATCCTATCCTTCTACTACCTTATTAAGAAATTCGTTAAAATAAGAGTACAATTTAGAAGTAGCATTGCCTTCGAATTATTCGAAGGATTAAATGTTTTAAAATTAAATATTATTATCGCCCTTACTTTTATTACTTATTTATTTAATATAGTATTTATATACGTACTTCCTATAATTACCCCTCTTAATTCCCCTCTTCTTAATTCGCCTCCTTCAATTCCCCTCCTTTTAACCTACCTCTTCTTAATAATAATCTCCTAATAGCCCGCCTATCGATTATACTAATAATATAACTAATAAGAGTATAAAGATTGTCGTATAATATTTAATAGAGTATTCGCTAAATTTAAAAACATAAAGGGTTAATAAAATAATACCCAATATATTAAATTACATATATTTTATACCCTATTTATTAACGGGAATAGATTGATAAAAAGAATAGGCCCTATTAAGTAGAATAATACCCTTAAAGAATTCTAATTTATTTATAACGGAAATTATACTAACTAGTTAATCAATTTTTTAATAGTTAATATTAATAATCAATAGGTAGTACGAATTAATAATAATTAATTAATCGATGTAAATTTCTATAATACTTTTTTATTAAAATTAAAAAGAAGGATAAGCTAAATTGCTACTTTAATAATAATATTTACGTAGTTAATAACGTTTTAAGGTAATAGAAGGCCAACGAAAGTATATACCTTCGGTTATTATATATGTGACGACTAGGATCCAGCGCCATGGGTCACATCCCATTCGTCTCATTAACAAGACCCACAAGACCCACCAGCGCCATTGATGCGCGCACTCTGATTGGTCGCATCGGCGGCATTAACATGCGTGCCCATTCAATTGGCACCGCGACCTATATGTCGCATTCACATATACTGTTAGATTAAATAAGGAAGGCGGTCGAGGCTGGCAGAATCTGGGCTCATCCCATATAAGGGTGCATACCAGAGCACAGCTCTCAACCTCTCCCTCTTTCCTTCTTTAGCTTTAGTTATTTATTCATTTGTACCCAACTACGCGATACGGAACTACGTAAGCTGGTGCATCGTAACAATATATAGTATTTAATTTCTATTCTATACCCTGTATAGTGGATAATTATAAGCGCTCTTTTAATAGCGCTAAATTAAACTATCGATAGTTAAAGGTAGAGCTTTACCACTAAAATTATTAATATTATTAAGAATTTAAAGTTTTAGTTAGTATTTAGGGTACTAAATTATATTTAATATAAATAAATAATGTATACGACGTTGTAACCGTCATAACGAAGGGATTTATAGTTGTTGGGAGGCTTTGAGCGTTTTAAGAAGATAGAAATCGTAAGAATCCAAGCACTTTTGAGACTATAAATACCAAAAACGCGATTTTAGACATCAAATATTAGCAAATAAATAAATACAAATAAATAAAAATGAATACAAATAAATATGCACCCATATTGGACCCACTCAAATAAATACAGATCGATATTTATTTGTATTTGCTTTATTTCCAGCGCTGGTTTCGAGGCCTTCGCTATAGACTTGTCCGGTTGTCGGGTAGTCCCCGTATACCCTAGGCATATGCTGCCTTGCCCCGTCATGCCCTAGTTGTAACTATCCAAGCCGCTAGCACGTTTTCACCGTAGCCTGCTGTCGACATTGCAGCGGTGCACGGAGCAGCCTTCACGGTCGCAGAAGTAGAGCTTCTCGGTTCCCGTCTGCTGGTCCTTGACGAGGACGAGCTGCTTGGGCGTAGTGAGGATGCCAATCGGCGAGAAGAACCATTCTTGTCGAAGCCATCGAGGGTGGAGGACATTAGGCTGCCGTCCTTGGCGGTGACGTCGGCGCCCATGTTGGTCCAGTACACACGGTTGCGGAGGGGTCGACGTCGATGTCGTCGGGGAGGGGGGCGGTGACGAGGGCCTTGGGCGGCTGGTTGGGCTCGTCGAGGCGGAGGATCTTGCCGTTGGTGGAGATATGAAAGGGGGGTAAAGACGGGTGGGGGGCCAGGGCGGAAGAGGATGGGATTGGGGCCGGGCCGAAAGGGATTGGGAGAAAGAATGAAGCAAAAAGATGGCGGAGTAAAAGAATGTTGCCGACCAAAACTTAAGGGTTACAGTAAACCATTTGTGAGGTCGGACACCTTCTACCCAAGCGGCACTCGAACACAATCCCCGGTAGGGCAATCTTCGGGTCGTTGCGTATTTTGTTATTGTGAGCTGGTGGGTTGTCGAATTTGGATTCCTAGTGATTATAAGAATCGTCGTTGTCTCGCACTTCATCATTTTCATGGCTGGTTTCCTCCTCCTCTACTTGTTTTAACTTCATCTTCTGGGTAGCGGAAACCTTTGTCAGGGCTAGAAAGCCAATTGCTCCATCAGCATCGGCCTCGTCGTTATCGGTACCCGGACGAGGTGGGCGGTCATAATCGTCATCGAGGTGGTGGCCTGCTTTGAGCCATCGGGATGAGAAAACCTGGGCGCACCCATACCTTTCCTCCATGTACCTATGTATCCATCGATGCCAGCTGATATGTAAAACCGTCGTTTTGTATGGTAAAATCGCGTTTTCTCGTGTCTTCTAGCATCCCTGCTAAAATCGACAAGTTTATTAGGACCGCTAGAGTCGTGATACTTTCGTGGTGTTGAGTGCAAGTTAAGTCCAGCCGTGCAGTGTAGTGCAAATCCATCTCTTGTTTATTCAGTTGGTGATATCTATTTTTGTTGTTCTACTCCTCCTCGTCGTCGCTAATTATAAAGGGGTTCTTCTGACCTCTCTCTATACCGCCCAGGGATTATGGTCATTCTCGTCGTTAGCGTGGCCCTCGTTGTATTGTAGGGTGGTGTTGGGTCGTGGTGATGTGACGTACAAAATGCCTCGAAATCGCTAAGTTTAAAAAGAGGTGCAAGATTGGTCAAAAATTTCACGAAATAATGTGCAATGTTTCGATCATTGAAATGGGGTATTTTCGCGGCTAAAAGTGGACTTTTGAATGTCGGGTGTTATCGATTGTCATGGGGTGCCAGGGACCCTAACCCTCTGGGACTATGGGTGCATGGAGGAAAGGTATGGATGCGCCCAGGTTTTCTCATCGGGATGGGCGGAGGTGCCATGGGAGGTGCCATGGGCCGAAATGGTTCCGGTGCCCGTTCTGGTACCTCATGAAACTCTTCTTCACGATGTTGGGGTCGAGGTAGCAAAGGTCTCAGCTGGGGAGGGCCTGGCTGGTGCTGAGGTCGAGGTAGCAAAGGTCTCAGCTGGGGAGGGCCTGGCTGATGCTGAGGTGCCTCCGCCTTTTTTTTGGCGCGTAATTTCCTTTTCCGCTCCCTCCGAGGTGCAAGATATGCTCAAGTCTTTTGTGTCCGTACTTATTTATCATAGCGCGGTGTAGGTATCGGCCCTTGGTTGCCCACATCCTCTTTCCGAGTTGGTCCTTCAAGATTGCTCCGGGCTTCCTGCGGTTTTCATGCGCTCATGCTTTCTTCAAGATTGCCGAAACGTAAAGGAAGTAAAGATACCGCGCTCTTGGGCGGTGGGTGGAAGTGGGAATGTCGGGTGCCTGGGAAGAGATTAACCGTTCTTGTTGCGAGGATCTGCTCCAGTTGGTCGAGGGTCATCCTGTGTTTTGTACCCCAGAGTCAGCGGACGGAATTTTGGATAAGGATATGAAGGGAGGATGGGGTATACCTGAAATATACCTAAGATGCTGAATCTACCTCCTCATGCCGTAGATGGAGAATGCCGTCCCTTTCCTACAGGGCGACCCTTCTCTGGCTGAAATCCATCTCCCTCTCATTCTCCTCCCACGCCCCCGCGGCCGCATCCGCCAACACTGGGCCCAGTGCACAGCAACGCTTGTTATGTGTGGTCGACTCGCGAGGATCGGTAGAGGATGTGGTGGAGGTCATGCGCGGAGCAGTTCTTAATCGTCATCGACCATAGGGTCCAGTCCTGCCACCGGTTTCCTGCTCGGCTCTCTTCTGGTGGCTATCGGCAGGTTCTTTCGTGGCATATTCCTCCTGCTCGTCATCGGCTGTGTTGATCGAGATAGCGTGCGGGACTTCTCCGTTGGAAGCAGGCTCTTCTCAGCCATGGTGGTCGCCCAGTCCCATCCGCTTGTTGGACGTGTTGACTTCGACGGCTTCGTCAGAAAATCGAAGCTTAGCCAGGGCACTAGGAGCACTCTCCCGCTTCGGAGCGGGTTTTTTACGGGAATGGAGAAAGCGAAAGGAGACTACCAGAAGCTCAGTTAGAAATTGACGAGGACCTGGAAGGCGAAGCCACCGAGCTGTACTGACCATTGACTTGGGCGATATGGCCTGTCGGAGTTGAAGCTGGAGTCAAGATGTTGGAATTGGAACGCGAAGAGGGACAAGAAGACAGATGCCCGATCTGGATGTCCATCCGTGGAAGGAGTTGTGGGCTGCCCCTGAGGGACATGCAGTGCAGTGGGGCGGGAATTTGCAGGCGGCCTACAGCGGGTGTGTTACAGTGGACATTGTCACTAACTGTTAGTGCAATACTCGGACCGGCACGGACACTCATGGATATCAAAAGTTTTTTACGGGTATGTCTCAAACAACCACTCTCCTATAGACCAGAATGCTGAATCGTCCATTGCTGTTGCCTCTTGATGTTTTCAAGTTGCTCTACGGGCAGTCGCAGAGGTGGCAGGTCCGTCTGTATTGAGAACCGCGCCATCTCAGTTGGAGATGTGGCAGGCACGAAAGGACCCACATCCATCCACGAGTTGCATTAGAAAGGCATCCCCTCTCAGGGCCGAAGTGCAGCATGCACGATCCTAATTTTGCCAAATGCAGTGAATCCGAATCGTTGGAACCGCTTCTCGTCTTACAAATACCATATACTTCCCCTCTTGAACCGAAGAAACGAAGCGATGGAACGACGGAAGACAACAAAAAGACATTCACTGCAGCGTGAAGTGACCCAAAACCTGGGATGCGGCTCTTCAGTCTTCGTCCCATGCTATCTCTCCCACAACTGCCTTAAACAAGGCAACAGACCTTGAGACCTTCGAACCTGGACGACCACCAAAAAAAATATTCGACGAGTAACAAGAATTGTAACAAAAAGCACTGGTTTGAGATTTCGTGCCCTTTTCACAACCCACACACCACGATTAGCTTCCGCAACCCTAAAAACGAAACGTCTACTGACCTCGACATCTCTCAGCTGTCAACCTACAAAACGGGTCGAAGACCTTATCAAAGCCGAATATCCCAAAATACCACACCGGCAGCAGAGACTCCAGCAGTGTCGCCAGCGATGATTCCACAGCGGCCACACCCGCGCCGCACCGCGCCCTCGGGTGTCCCTTTTCCTCGACGAACATTGCGTTGCCAGGATGCCCAGATCCGGTTGCCGGAAGATTCCATTCACGAAGCCGGTCGATCGCCAGTAGCTCTCCACGTCGAATTCCACGAAGACGAAGAATCCGACTCGCCACCTAGAGGACAGGGTACCTCGAGAGGAGTTTACGGCAGTCAACCTCCAATACCCCTCCAAGGCGACGAACCCAGCCTACCTACAAGACAGGGTACCTCTAGATGGCTCTTCACCATTCCACCTCCCACACACCTCCACGAAAGAAAGTGATGAGGACAGACTGATCCGGAGGAACATTGAGGTGTTCCGACGTCGCCTTCGTGCAGGTCTCCTTGCACCTGTCTACCACCATTCACAGCAAACCCGTAGACGACCTCTCCTTTTTCAAGACATGGAACAGCCTAGCCGTCAAAGCCGAAGACACCCGCGCAGTCCCAGCCCTATTCCCCGCCCCTCCAGCCGCAGAAGGCTTACCTTAACCTCCCACGATAGCTGGATTGAGGTAACAGTACCCGAAGCCGCCGCCTCCGCAGCCAGACGCTCCCATGCCGCCGGCCCCGAGCCCGAAGCTGAACCCGTACACCCTCCACCTCTTTACCCTCGTGAGCCCACAATCTCCAACGAGCGCCTCAACGAGCGCCTGGCCGAGATAGGCCCGCGCAGGGAACCCGCGCCCGAGATTGCCCACCTCATACCTCTACCTCGCGCACCCCAAGCCGACCTCTTCCGACCGCCACCGCCTTACTCACCTCGCATCCCAAGCCTACATCCCACAGCCCACCTCATACCTCTACCTAGCGCACCCCAAGCCGACCCCTTCCGACCGCCACCGTCTTACTCACCCCGCAATCCCCGCCTACATCCCACGGGCGAGGACTACGACCTCACATCCAGTCTCTACCATCGCCTCCACAACAACGGCGCTCCCCCTCTGCCAGTCTACACCCCCGTTGCCGGCCCCAGCGAACGCGTCCTCCAATTTGGAGGAAGTGAGTATGAGCAACGGAACGCCTTGTTGCGCTTGTTGCAGGAGAGGAACCGACAGGAAAGAGAAAGAGAGGAGGCTATGGAAGAGATACGATTGCTGACCTGGGAAGAGGTAAAGAGTCACATGGAGAGCGGTCTCGCTATATACGGAAGTTCCAGATGATCAATCTTCCTCCTGGCGTACTTTGCTACGAAGGTCTTGATGAAAAGCATCTACCTGGTTTTCTTGTGTTGGAAAAGAAGAGTTCGTGGGGCCGGATTTTGACAGCCCGCAAAGCATGGAGCAATACCTAGCATTACCGACGGTGTTGGATACTGGTGGCCGGTATGATCCGGCGGTTCATGAACGACAGATCTCGCTCACGGTAACTCGCAACGGCAAGGCTTGAGGGATCACTTGGACTAAGGTCAGAGGCAGGAGAATAGGGGTTGGTTTTATATCGCGACCGGAGCTCGGAGCCCGACTTGGCAGCTAGCTATTGGGGATCGATGACAGGGGGTAGCGATCTTACAGTCGACGGCACACATATCCAGATTTGGCTCACTCACTAAAGAGGATATGGGTGGGAGAGGACCATGACAATTCGCATGCATGGAAGTATCACGGCTTGGAAGATTTTCGGCAGCTTGCCCAGAGGCGAGGACAGGAAGAGAAGATCAAGTGGAAGTCAAGAATCGGGCTGTCAATTAGCGCTGTCAGTTAGGGGCGGTATGCGGGGCAGCGGGGGCATCGCTCATTCGCTCATGCTTGCGAATAGCGCAATAGCATAATACTTTTCACTGAGATGGACACTCGCAAACCATATTGCTTCGATTGAATCAAGGCTCTTCCAGCTGCTTTAACAATTTGGAAGGATGTTGTAATTGTGTTGGTCCAATACTTCGTAATTCCTATCATTTAACGAATTTTGTCAACCTCGGCCGGTTGTCTTCCGCATGAACTCAACTATCTAAGTCCAGCGCCAAGAACCCGCACACCCGCTACACGGCCCCCGGCCTCCGGCCGGCCCTCGAGGGGAGTCCACTGGACAGCCTTCAAAACACAGCTCGGAGGAGTCGGCGTCAAAAACAAAACAGCTCTTCAAGATACACAACCGGGGCCAAACTGCAATGGCAACCACCTAGTTCCACACCCTACCTCAATTCTCCGTCCATGGACAAAACCCATTATCCTTCTAATCTTCCCTGTCGACCAGGTAAAAATCGGTTTCTCTTGACAGGAACAGAACGCCATCATTCAATTGTCCCTGCTGTGTTAAACGATGTTCCATATTTACTGCTTCGCGGTTGTGTTCATTACGTTACGAGACATCAACAAGTTTGCTTACCCAAGAAACTCGCCACGTGCTCGCCAAACTTGCAAACATGGAGGAGGTATAGAACCAAGCTTTCCTTTTTGAGCCACCTAGATAATGCTGGCCGTTAACTCCGACCTTGTTCTGCCTGTTCTTCCTGTTCTGCCTACCTGTGCATCAAAAAGCAAGTCAAGCAAGTTCGAGTCGTGAGGTGGCAATGTTGTAAAGGACAGCTTTCACTAACTGCCCTAGTGCCCTGGGGGGATTGCAGGACATGTATGCTGCTAGATATATATGCTGCAGGTATACGTGCGGGCAACTTGAAATGTACGGACATCATTGCTGTGCTTCCTCAAGTGCTACTGCTGCTCAATGCCGGGCGTCTAAAACTCGCCAAATCTAAAAGCCAGATTATGCAATGCATCTCCTGTTTCCCAGTTTAACGAGGTTCTTCGGAGATAAAGCCCGGTGACATGCCATATTATCTTGAAAAAAGCAAGAAAACTAGCTGGGTTAAGAATGTCAGTTTATATAACCGGGACGGGATCTGCTTCGGTCTCGTCCGAAGCCCAGTCCCCAAACCAGGCACTCGCAGGCGGTGTTTGTTGTCGATTCGAGACTACACTATCTGAGGGTTGAACCTTGAGGCTTGAACTCCGCGTGAAGGCGATGTGGGAATTGCAGAAAGTTCTGCATGCATACTGCAGTGAATGGTATGGTGGTGAAATGCGCGTGCTGCTGGAAGGCGCCATGGAACTAAGGTAAACCGGACCTCCGGGATGCAGAGAATATTCATGCCCGTTAAAGTCCGTGCCAGCCCCTCTTCGCTTCGTATATATCGCTCTTACTATCCCATCGTCATCAACTTCGCCTCACCTTCCGAACTTTCAACAACCGAAAACCTCCACAATGGCACCTTCCAAAACCCCCGACTTCCCCGAGGAGGTATGGCGTCTAATCATCCAACACGGAGTTACCATAACGGCAACCTCAGATTACCGCACATGGGACTGCTACCACTCCGACGAGGTAAACGACCAGCTCCGCTACGATCCAACCACCCAGTTCAACCACCAGCGCTTGAGGAGGGACTACAACGCCATGCTCAACCTCTCGCAGACATGCCGTTTTTTTCACGACCTTGTCGCCGACGAGCTATACCAGTACATCGTGCTCTGCGACGACCACGGCATCAAGCGTGAAAAGTTAGCACTCTTGTTACGAACCTTGCTTGAGCGCCCCGAGATCCGCGACCGGGTCAAGCATATCACGATGGTACCCTGGTTTGGTGGAAATGAGCCAGAGCCGTGCGCAACCGCCCTTCGGCTGATGGGGAGGGGGGCACGACCTGTTGATTACCAACAGGCCTTTACCTTTTGAAAGGAAAGGATATCAAGAAAATGGATATGCAAGCCCAGGGCATCATCGACACCGCTGGTCTTGAGCTCGCCAACCTGCCCATTAATCGTAGGGTAAAGAAGTCGACAGCGTGGCTTGAGAGGGCGCTTGCCGCGTTGGTCTGCCTATCGACTGGCCTTCGAAGCCTGTCGATTCAGGATCCTCCCCCAGCATCTGGCTGGAAATCGGCGTGGATGTGGTCGTTCGATGTAGACGGGTTCGAACGCGTCATTCGTAATATCCGGGATCTCCCTACTTCACAGGGAAAGATTTTTCAGAAGCTGGAAGCGGTTTCCGTCTTGACGACAAGGTCCAAAAACGATTCCAAGGAGGCGTTCACCGTCTATTCCTCTCCGCGCCTGACTGGCTTTCAAGCGCTTGGGTTCCTCAGCATGAAGGACTGGTAAGTCAGAGCCTTTATCCTTGTGGCTGTTTCTGTTTTTCTCTGCGCTCACCTGGCTAGTACTTGCAATACTATAGGCATCGCTTGGCTGACTTCCGGTCAATTTTGGTCCACCTGGATATCGGTCACCTCTACCCACAGTTGTTCCATGTTAGATGGATTGGCCTCGACAAGCCCAACCCGGCTCGGGCCCGCGAAGCCGCGCAGTTTAGACGTATTTTGTCGACATTCAATCGACTCAAATTTCTACGAATCTCTTATACTCTCCTTATCGGCCACCTGGAAGAGGAGACCAAGAGATTTGGAGACATGATATCCGAACTCCTTCCTCAGTCCGTCGAAGATTTCCAGATAGCGGTCTTTAACCACGGGGTAGATACCTGGATTGAGCGACCAAACATCGACATGTCCGTCAAGTGTTTTTTTCCAGGGTCTTGGGTCATGGACATGGGAGCTGGAGCAGAAAGGATACTGGTTTAACTTTCGCGCCACACACCGTGATCTCCGGAAATTTGGTATATTGGTCCACCAGAAGGGCAATTCCCGGGACCAATCCGAATTCTGGATAACTAGACGGTCGATCAACTTGAAGAGGCTCCGGACATGGCTAGCTTCAGGGGATAACTATATGGATCCCAGCGAACCATACCACGCGTATCTCGAATATGTCGGGTATCCCAGTGATCGCGAGGATGACGAGGAAGATGCGACGGATAACGCTACGTACGATGGCTATTGCCCCCGTGGAACTCTACAAACCCTACAGGCCCAATTGGAGCAACTAGGGGTGGACTTCCAGGTTTCTACCTTCCAACCTCCGATGTTTCGTAGAGGTAGTGACGAATTGCCTGGCGGGTCGGAGGGATATGTGCGCCGGCTCATATGAGGAATTGGCGGCATTGAAGCCATCGCACGCTGTGGTGTTTCCTGGTAACGGTGGATTCATTCGACACGGGTCCACGCTGTATGGTGGAAGACTGCGTCCTTAGCTCTACAAATTTCCTCTCCATAGGTTGATCAGCGACTTGCTACCACAGAGATCTTTTGCCCAGGTGGCTACATACCTCTGCCTTTGTCGCCTTCGCTTGGTTCAGCAAGCTGTTGCTCAAAAGGCTCATCACATCCAGGGGAACAGTTTGCCTATCAGCCGCCGATGGCCGAGCACGAGAGGGCATGATGCCGTGGAGAAGCCCAAATAGGAGGCGGACGATGACGCCGAGGACGACTCCCACGATGAAAGTGCCAATGTCGCTGCGGAGGATGTCCGTCACGCCGGTCCGGGTCCGACGAGAAGTTTGGGACCGCTCCATGCTAGATTGAAGCAATTGGGGCCGGACCTCCGAGTTTCCCTCTTCCACCGCCGTATCTCGGCTAACGGGGTTGACCTTGGTGAGGGCCTCTTGCATCGGCTGCTACGGCAACTGGGGGGTACACTTTCGGGTAGTAGACTGGAAGGAGGAGATGGTAGATGGATTGATGGCAGTTGGCGAAGGGAGAAAGTCGGTTCAGGGAACTTGGAGGAAATCAAGAGAGAGATAATTGATACAAGTAGATACAGTGATGTTCCAAGGAAATGATGCAAATGGTGAACACGTGCCAAGGTTAACATGGAACGAGACAGAAGAAAGTTGATGGGAAAAGATTCTCCTCGCACGAGCGGCTTCTAGTTTCGACAGTTTGTCGCCGCCATACGCTCTTTCCCTTCCCACCATTCGCCCCACAAAGAACATGAACTCATTGCACCTTCCATTATTTTTCATAAACCCTCGCCTCCTTCTCATTTACCGTGCATCTCACTGCCAGCCGGCTAGCAGCGGCCCATGTTCCTGAACCCTCTCTCTCCATCACCACTTCCCCTTCCTCTCCCACCTACGCATTAATCTCCACCCCCTTATACTCCTTACTCCCCGCCTTCAACTCCCACGGCGCAAACACATTCTTGCTCCCCTTCAACGTGTCCCTCAACTCCGGGAAATGTCTCCCCAACACATCCTTCATCCCGCTATCCTGCACCCACTTGAACCCAACCTTGGTATACATCTTCTCATTCCATTCGCCGGCAATGAACCGATCGCTCTTCAGCCTCCTTGACGCCATCAGAATGAAGATCCTAAATGCCGTCTCGCTGAATCCAAACCCTGGGATCACAGGCTCCGAATGAGACCCGACCAAAGCGTCGACGAGGGAGATGTCGTTGTAGGCTTCCGCCAGTTCTGCTGCTAGGACTTTGTTGCCGCCGGTAAGTTCTTCGAAGGTCTTGGGCACTGATAGGCGGAGCATCCTACGGAACTCGCAGTAGCGGGGGACGCCACGCTCGCGGTCGCGGAGGATGTCAACTGTTCCAAGGTCGCGGACTTGGCCGTCGGGGGTGCGCAGGTTGCGTAAGAAATCGGGGTAGTTGTTGTTGGTGATGGCGCCGGGGTAGTTGATGCCGAAGGAGTAGAAGACGTCGGCGAAGGAGAGGCCGTCGTCGAAGGGGGTTTGGGATTTGGTGAAGGTGGTGTCGACGACGGGGATGGTGGTGGCGTGGTGGCCGTCGTTGGCGGAGAAGAAGGCGATTGTTTCTGGTAGGCAACCGGGTCAGTAAAGAGGGAGTGGTAAAATAATGGGAGGGGAGAAACAAACCAGGCATCAACGAATGCATCCGATAAACCGACACGAACTCCTCCGTCAGTGAGTACGGCGCCCCATCCTGCTCCGCTCCGCTGCCGGGAATTCCACTGATAATCTCGCTCGTCTTCGACAGTCTTCCCGCGATCTTGGTCAACTTCTCTCCGACAATCCCCCACCAGTTGGCAGCCATTCCAATCTGCAGCGCCGGATGCGCCAGAATCGCCGGCGTCCACTCCACCGTATGGATCTTGGCCATCAATGCACAATTCACCAGCCTCGCCTTATCAAAGATCTGGTCCCCGCTCCAATCCGGATACTCCTTGCGCAACGCATCGCAAACGGCATTGTGCTCCAGCGCAAACAGCGTGTGCAGGATCTCCATTCCCACCCACCAGTTGTCGCTGAAGCCCGTCAAGACGTTTCCATCTTGGTCCCGAGGGAGGAATTGCTCACGCCCGCGACTGTCGAGGGGTAACTTGCCATCTGGATCGCGGTTGCGGAGCTTCTGTGTTACGGACTCGGAGGAGCCGTAGATCTGTGATCCGTCCCACCAGTGGGTGTTGAGGTTCTTGTACCCGGGACACTTGATGTCGGATGGGTCGAGAGTCTCATCTGGCTTGGTGGCGTATAACTGCATGTGTTCATCGAGCCACTTGTCGTCCTTGGAGAGCGGGACGTCGAGCTTCTCGTGGGGGTCCTAAGATATGACCAGAAAGAGTCAGCCAATGATCGGAACTAAGAAGGGAGAAGCCGAAGCCACACGAGTACTGGGAACACCCGATGTTGCACAAGATCACAACAAATGCATGATCGGCAAAGTCCCCAGCCCAGAAAGGAAAGTCTCACGGGAATACACACCTGCTCATGAAAAAACCAATCATGCGTCTGAAACTGGATCCACGCCGCCGCCAACAAATTCAGTGTCGTCGCCGGGATGAACTTGCCCTCCTTCCTCGCCATGAACCTGTTGCTGATCTCCCTCGGATTTGGCGTCCACAACTCCTCCTCGCTCGGCTTGCCGCAAGCTTCCCTCGGGAAATTCCTTCCGAACTTCATCCCCGTACATCCCATCCTGGGCTGGCTCAAATCATTGAACTTGCCATCGGAGTGTCTAGCGCCCAGGTAGCGCTGGTCCGGCAGAGGATCGGTGACGGAATTACCCTGAGCGGTGGGAGTACTGTAGGCGTCGTGCAGGTTGTATTGTCGTAGCTCGATGCGGAGAAAGGCCAGGTTAAAGGCACCGATGAAGCCGGGGAGTTTGTACCACGGGATTAGCTTGTTGAGGAGGTGGAAGGAGGAGATGCCGAGGCGTTCGAGGAGGGTGGGGGTGAAGGAGGGGACGAGTTCGACTGGCTTCTTATCGTCGTCTGCTTTGGAGGTAGAGGCGGTGGAAGAGGTGGTGCCGTTTGGTTTGGAGAGGGTGTTGGGCATTTTGATGAGGTGTGGTGGTCTACACCTATGAGAATGTTGGATGGTGGTTGTTGTGATGGTGAGGTTCTTGAGGTGTTGTTGATGCTGGTCGTCTTACTAACTTCTTCAAGCGAGGAACTGATTGACGAAAACAGAACTCCCACTTCGACCTCAACCCAAGGACCCCCACAATCTTATACCCATTGCCTCATGCAGTACCATCCCCCACCCCTTCCACGCAGCCGCTCACTCTTCCTCCCTCCTCAAATCCTCAGCTCGACTCTAGTTACTCCCTTCGGGGATTCCGTGGGTGCCATGGCGGGTGATCCGTGACGCCAATCCCGCATCCCTCATCAGCTGCCGCCGCCATATTGTATGCTTACCCCTACCACTCGAAAGGCTGAGCCAACTCGGGAGGTCAAGGGTTGTAGCAGAGCTGCTGATTGGATGACAGTCCGGTGTGAGATCCAGGGCCTTGTCGTGGGGTGGTAGGTGGCTTTCCGAGGGCTTACATGTAAGATGATGCTCGTTCCCTCCTGTCCATCCCCTAACCGAAAGGGAACGACATGGATGCAGTGCCGCTCGAGCACCGAGGTGATTGACCCCGATGTGGGAAATTCCGGGCTTCGTTCGCCGTTGTGATGCATTTCGTTCCCCTCGATTCCGTCGAACAGATGTGGGATTTTCTGCTACACGATGCAGTAGAACTCGACAATAACTGAACACTTGTATCCCATAACGAAGAACACCAGTGTTCACAGGATTGATCAACGAACGGTTACGAGTAAGTATTTCAACCAATCATCACCGAATCCGGACTTGACCGGTCAGCCCATCAGCCCATCAGCCCGTGCCGCCCGCGTCGGCTGTGATTGCAACCCTCAGGGACCATGTGCAGAAAAAGGGGGCAGTGACTGTCAGTGGAGGCAGGGGGTTCGGACGGACATCTTCCGAATTGAGCTCTCGAAGCTCAGCCCTATCTATTCCTATGCTTCCGAGACCCTGCTTTTGTTTGCTTTTGTTTTGCTTGTTGAATCATTTAGTCAAGGAGTGATTGGGAGGTGGACATGGAGGTGCAGGAATGCCGACATACAGGTGCGTTATCTGTCTGTTATTGCACTATCACCATATCACAGCAAAACCAAGACGGCCCGTTAAGGCCATTTCTTAGTCGAAACTACCTTACCTGCCTACCTAGTCTTGTCGAATCGTGATATGGGAACTACTCAAAACATCGACGTCTTCTTGTAGGCGAGGAGGTATCACGAAAGCATAGGTACGAAGGCATTTTGCAAGTTCTTTTGTTGATTATCATAGAAATCTCACCCCAGCCCGTGCCACCTCAGACTTGATATGCACCTCCGCCGCCTGTTGACCTATGGGTTCATCGCCCGCATTTATTGCCATCCACCACATTCTTCCATACCACTCCGGCACTCCCAGAAGCATCAACGACGACGTCTCCCAAAGGCTGAAGTTGGCAGTCTCTCATTCCAACCCCTCCACCACCAGCCCGGCATCGACCAAGCTTACAATGCTAAGCCTCTGGTCATTATCGTCTGCCCCAACCGTGGACTGGTTGTCCCAATCATCAACGAGGCTCGAAAGTTCTGCTACCGTTCGATATCACTGGCGGTTTTGGAGAAGATGGAGAATGAAGGTCAAGGTCTGGTTTGGCATTGTGAACTATGTAGTTTGGAACATTGGGGGGGAACTATGTAATTGTGTGCACCAAGGGAACCATGTGACGTCCGGAGCGTAGCCAACGTGTGGGTAGGCGGGCTGGGCCTGATCCCAGGAGGTGATAGGCAAAGGCTGCATTGGATGAATCGGTCTACCGTTGACATCAGCCGCCCCGTGGGG